CACAGTAAAAATCATTCATGTGTCCTCTTAAAGTAGATGGTATGTGAAGCTTGATGAAAGAGTGACTTGCGCTTTTGGTCGCCACCTGGACGATACATTTAACCTCCAAAAATTTACTTTTTTGAAACTATTTGTAAACAATTTGAAGTTGATATAGCGAACTAGTAAGCAAAGAGTTGCCAATTTCAGCATCCAGCAAAAAGAGGGCAACATTAGCTTTCATTTCATTGACATGAAATTAAATAAAACCGGTGCCTGCTGCTACTGGAAACACGCTCATGGGTGCAGTGAGGACATATACTGTATAAAACATGGACCTAGTCTCAATGTTTTTGATATAAAAACATTGATAATTGTGGAGTAGTTTGCACAGTTAACTCAAGGTAACATATCTGTACCATCTAGTCCTTCAGCAGAGCTTTTATAGGCTTTTATAAAACCGCATGTGCAACGCAGCTAATGTGATACCACACTTCATTCTTGTTTCTCTGGCTTTCCATGCCCTCAAAAGTCAGCTCTGTCAAGACCGTTTGCAACTGAACAACAGTGCAAATTTCACCAAAACTGACTCCTGTGTGTTGGCTCTAAGTATGCTGTTATAATGGCTGTTGATAGCCCTGAGAGTACTGAAATATTATCACTTATTCTGAGTCAGTATGTATGAATGACTTTTAATGACTTCTGTGCACTCTTGATCTCTCCGATTACATTAATGCGGACGTGACCACCTCAACTATCATCGTATCTGGCACACAGTAAGTAGGCCTTAGGTTTCATAAAAGGGTGACATGACACACCTCTTGTTCTGATAGAAATTGGCACTTAGAGTCTGTCTGGGTCATGTCTGCACACACACAGACTTCAGCTCCTGCAAAAAGCAGCCAGTAGATACTGTTACACACCATTCTCACCGCTGCCCATCTTGTCATCATCCCCTATGAATATTCAATTCCTCTCCCCCTCTCTGGCCTTCTCATCAAACGTCTGGTATTAATGTGCCACAGACGGTGTGCTGCACCCCTCTCCACCTCCTCCCTCCTCTGCTCTACAATGACTTGTGTCCGGGCCAATGCATTATGACTGGTAGGGGTGACTCATCCTGGGCAGCAAGCCACTGGAGTGTGGGGTGACATGAATGGAGAGGGGTTATGTTAGGTGACACACTGATGCAAATGCATCTGCTGCACCAGTCATGATGCTGTATTGACTTTGGATAAGACTTTCCAATTGCATTAAAAAAACTAAATAAATTCACTTACAGTAAGACAACAAACCTTAATGTTCGTAAGGATCTAGCTGTTTTACTGTAGGTGTGGAAACTTCTTATGAGACAAAAAATAATGCACATTATCTGGTTTAAAAAGCTTCCACTAATCCACATTTTGATGGAGACTTCTTATAAGCACTCAAGGCTCCCTGAAGTACAATGTGGGAGCTACTTAGAGGCTGTGTAAGGCAGACAGGTAGTGCCTTTAAAGTGTCGCTAATGGCAGTAAGTGATACATGTCGTGAAACAGCTGTTTGCAGAAAACCATACTAGAAAGTCAACAAATTGTAGCATAATGATCCCTGCAGGAAAAATGGCTGAACAGAAAACAATACCCACAGTTTTCTCAATAAATATAAATAGGTTGAGAGAAAAAATGGACTCATGTCTACAACAGGCCGCCGTGTGTCATGAATATGAGCGATGGCGATATCAGAATCGAACTGCTGACTCTGGTGTGTGTTGTTGTTGCTTCTTCCATTCCTCAGGTTGCTCCAGACAGAGTGGCTCACACTAATTGGCTGCATCTCATCAAGACAAAATGCCAGCAGATGAGTCCAGTGTCTCAGCTACCGTCGAAGGGCTGTGCATTGAGCGACAAGCTCTCAGACAACGGCGCTCTGTTCACGGGAGTGGACAGACAATAAGCATCCACATAAGCTATAGCACTGTCTCAAATGTGCCTGTGTCGTAGGAAGGGGATAAAGGCAAACACTAAGAATGCCGAAGAGAGAGATAAGAAATAATGATGGGCAAAAAAAAAAGACCAGTTCACAAAGCTCCAACTGGAAAGAACAGACAAAATGAGATTAACGAACAGGAGAAAAGACTTTTCTAGACTTTTCTAGATTAGACATATCTTAAGGGATGTAATTTTAACAAGAAATATTATTAACCTACAGCACTTAAATACGTAAATGATTTCAAATGGCAATTCATTGTTACTGTTGTGGATGAATATTATCTGTATATAGGCTCCATTCAGGGATATTTTTGATTTCCTTCCACCTCTCACTACTGCCTCCACTCCTGAATTTGGCACAAAATACTTGATAAAACACATATTTATCTTTCAAGTGGTCACACACACATGCATACACACACTTATCACACCCACAAACGTTGTGCTTTAGCTCTGTATATGGAAACTGATAAGAGGAAGTTCCAAATAGGAGATGCTGTATTAAATAGTTTGTATAGGCTATAAGCTGAATGTGAACATGATATCAGCTTCTTGTTGTGTAACTATATTTCACATTGTCGTCATGAATTATTTCTTTAACGTAACAGAGTGAAGATTAGCTGGCTCTCGCGCATAAGAGTGTTCACCAGCAGTAAACAATGTCAACACACCCCTTGAGTATTCGCTATTGTCAAACATTCAGTGCTGTTCAATGCCAACAAAATAGGTTCTTTTTTTTCTTTGTTAAAAAGCCAAGTATTCATATTTTACTTTCCAGTGTACCCGTAGCTTAGAATATGGACAGAAAACCCCAGGAGTAGAAGCCTGTGGAACAGAGGCTAGCAAAGACAGGGGCCAGAAGCACTGCAGGATTTGCCCAATACACTTAATATTATAGTAAAATATACTGCAGAGGGGTGCAGTGTCTTCTTGGGCAGCTCTAGACACCATACTTGCACAACCCTGTTTCAACATTAGCATTCAGTCAAAAGTGTCCATGTGCTGTAAACAGGTGGCTCCTCTGCCAATCCCACTGAGAGTTAACAGCTTTAGTGCATCTTTACCCCATTGTTCTGGTTTTTGGAGCTAGTATGTAAACTCGCTCTCTGCTCCAACATCATAGGTTCAGACAAGATGAGTCTACGCTAACTTACCAGAGTGGAATTAAATGATTGGATGATGAATAAAGTACAAAATTCACATTTTACTAAGTCTTAGTTAGACTTTCCCACCAGGGCTGGTTTGGTCAAAATAAACCCTTAATTTACAGTTAGATAGAAAAATATTTGCGAGACAGGCTACAATGGCAGCAACAACATAAGTTAATGCTTGGGGACAAATGCACCCATTAAAGTGCGCCCATTAAAGTGCTTTTTGCTACTGACTTGCTCAGATTGCTATTCTAAGTGTCTGACAACATTATGGAAAGGATCCCTACACTTACTGTGTAACCAGAAAAAAAACATAATATTGCTATCGCTCTCCACCAGACTGCATAGAAAAAAATGGTAATTTTACCTTGCATAACATTGTAACATCTCAACTTCATTTAAAGAGGACAGAAACAAAATAAATGATGAGAAAAGAGCAGTTTTCAGTCGCTCTACTCAGTTGCACATACAGGCACTCACATGCATGCGTAGCCAGCCCAGCTCTGTAAACAAAGCACAGAGAGGCTGTGATAACAACAAGGTAGTATGACTTCAGGACAGTACTCCATTATATCATACATATATAGCAAATAGTTGTTGTTGTGCTGCTATATTGATTGGTTGGTTTTAAATCTCATATATATAACCTTTAAATTACCCAGATTTTTTCTCATGAGTTAGACTTCCAAACTAAAATGCCAGTGAATATTGGATTTACAAACCCCAGGATGACAAAAATTCCAGTGGGAAGCTCAAGTTGCTCTCTGTCTGGATAGTAGGTAAGTATTTGCTAACACACTAGCAGCATCGACTTGAAAATCTAATGGTGTATCAGTTTCTGTGAGTGAGTATTTTTGCTCGTTGTGGTCAAAAATATGGCTTTTTCACAGCATACATTTTGACATGTTATAGCAGAAAAAGACAGGTGTAATTACTAGCATCAACAAAGTCCCCTCCCATTTAAGTGCTTTTACTGCCATGATATGTCAAAATGTATCAAAGACACCCAACACATTTATCTGCTTAATTTTAAGTTCAAAAACTGTTAATACAAAACTATTTATAGCGAATGCTGTGAGCTGCCTCCCACCTAACCCACCTCCTGACACCACCCAGCTACATTCCAGCTCGAGCTCGCACTAACACACGACCACCAGATTTCACCAGACTTCACAAGCTGCGCTGTAATTATACTGTTGATAAATCATGTGTCTAGCCTATTATTAGCAGACAATGGAAGATGATCAGGCAATTGAAATTGTTTGTTTGTTTTTTCAATGAACACTTTCAAACCGCACAGACTAAAGCCACTGATTTAAACACTGGTTTAAAAAACAACAACACAAATCCTAATGTTGAGTCACAGAAGTTGTTTTCGACCAGAAAGCTCTGGTTTTTATCCAATGAAATCTTCTAGCACCACTGACTTTAACAAAGCCGTAAGAAGATTTTTGGAAGTCCTCTTTCCTCGCAGCCTCTCTCCGAGTTGGGCCTACTGTAGTTCATTAAGATATTTGCTGCGTGATACATTTTACATTATGTAGTGGACAGCAAAGAGAGGTGCAGAGGGATAAAAATGTTTCATACCTATACTTGCTTTCCACATTAGAACAGTAACATTTAGGTTGAAACTCAGTAAAGCGTTTTATACCGTATGCTGCTGTTAGAAGAGAGGGGACAATAAGATAAGTCAACAACTAATCTAATTTACGGGATCTGTACTTTAGGAATGAGATTTTTTGCCATCTTTATGAAAGAATCCATGCCTAAAGTTACACTGCCCCCTAGAGGCAAAACAATATAACAGTCAAGTTCCTTTCCTTCCAGTCAAACTTTATTCATTATCTCAAAAAAAAATTAACAGATTCAGACCAAATGACAATTATACCCCACCTCCCTCATCCTCCCTCATCCTCCCTCTCCCACCCCAACCAAACTAATCAACGCCCCCTAAATGTTGACTAATTGGAATATATTTCAACTCAGTAAATAATCAGTGGCCTTCTCATCTTTCAGCTAAAGTCAGCCACAACTGAGAGCAGACAAATTAAATACAGAAAAATAATTGGGGTCCATAGTTTTCAGTGCATTACACAGCTCGGTGGTAAGACAATGAGCTTATGAAATTACAATTCTGCCTTAACTTTCAAGTTTAACTCAAGGTTGTGACAGACCCTTTGTAGATATTCCCATTCATTTTCACTTTTGTGGCTCTGAGTCTTCTTAAATTTAACGTTGTCTTTAAAATAGCTTGTCACACACTTCATCTGACAGAACATCATTCAAAAAACAAGCACACTTCTGAAAGACATTTACCAGAATACAAACTAGGTTATTATTCACATCTGATTAGAAATATGTTAATAAATTAATCAACTATCAGTTATCCCCCACAGAGCTCCCCACACACCCCAGAACACCTCCCCCAAAACCAAAAATTATTTTCACACAGAATTCAAACCCAAATTTGTATCATCCTATTGACCACCACTTTCCTGAGCTATTGGAGAAACTGACATAAAGTCAATCTTGCATCACACTTAACGGCTTATAAAATACCACCAGAAGTGGAGTGCATTACAGTAACTCATGGGTGTTTCGCATTTAAGTGATATGGCTGACAATGGTACATTTATTACGTTGTCAGCGTCTTTGGCAGTCCCTCAATCATAGTTAGCAGGTACATAATGGATCTGATGGTATTACAGGAGTCAGTTCAGTTTTGATCAAATCTATGGGGTCAAATAAGGGTTAAAAAAGATTTTGAGATTGTGAAATGAAGTTTTTTTTTAATTCAAAGCTTGTTGTATATCCTCATTTGCAGACCTGTTTTTGTGGTTATCAGGAATGGATTTGGAGTGCCAACAGTCTAAACAAACTAGGTTATTAATTTACTCTTCTTTTGTTTTACACAGTTTAATGCTTTGGATCTTTACTCAGATGTTTTCTCAGTCTTTGCCTCTACATATACACAAACTTTTTCACCACTAGTTTACAAGGGTGACATACAAGCACAAGCTCTGAAAACATTTCTGATGATCATTTAAAAATCTCAAAATCCAACTGACTTTTATTTGATCCATAAGAAACTATACATTTAATATCTTTAAGTTAAAACTGGAGGTTTGGATCTTATCAAATCCCAGCCATATTCTAAAGAAACCTCCCTTTTGTCTGAACTGACCCCAATGCTAATAGGTGAGAGACATGATTAATCCACAATGACTGATAGTCCTAAACAATGTTAGGACAGATATCAAAAGCATTCAGGTGCTTTCAAAACACACGCAATAGATTCGAGTTGACCTACATAAATTACAAAGGTATAAAAATGGCTCATATTCTATCACAAATATTGACAACGTTTTTAGACAATGAGTATTCTGGAAAAAAAAACAAACTGAAGAAAACAACCTGTAAAATGTCAGCTATCAGTCCAGTGAATCTGATTGGCTGATGAGGTGGTGGTAATGCGCGTTGAGTGGTTCATGTCGGGCTTCACTTGGGACCAAATCACATCTTAGTGAGCTAAACAGTTTACAGGCACCCACAGTTGACCACAGCCACTCCAAACGTTAAGAGCTTTATCTGGTGAACCAACATCTACCTGCAGTTTCCTCTAAGGCTGTAACCATGGCTACAAGTGTACTATTTAGTGCACAAAGATGTGGTGTGAGGTAAGCCGTAATTGTTTCCTCATGTACGTCTGGCCTTCTGTCTCTTGGCCTGACGTTTGGCTTCATCCAGAGCAGCGTTTTCCCCGCTGGTTTGGGCCATGCTCCTCACTCCCTGGATACGATTCACTACCTGTAACAGGAGGGGGATTACCTGCAAAACAGGTCCACAAAAGGCATTAAACAAACGCTTTTTGGATTAATAGTTTCTTACTTGAAATATTAAGAAAATCCCTGAGATTAACAGGAATTAATACATGGATAAATCCCGATTATAAAACATGAAAACTGCAGGAAGTAGGACATTCTTCTTGATGTCATTCCAAATTTCAGGCTTTGGCATGATAAGGCCAAATTCCAGTGAGGTTTATTCCAAACAGATTCAGAAATTCAATAGTCAAGCAAGAAAGGCTCTTTAACCATGCTGTCTGGAACAGGTGGAGGTGGTTACGTACCTTCTCGTGGTTGTAAGCTGCTAAGAGGAGCAGCAGAGTGAGGGGCAGAGCTATGTAGGAGCCCTGGGCAACATCCTGGTCAGGCACTTTACGCTGTGGGAAAGCACACACAAACACACACCCTGAGATGAGACAACTCTAGCCCAATCAATATGGCTTTGATACAAAACCTGCTACAATATGCCTCACTCGAAGTCAGGAATCTTGTAGTTCTTGGCAATAAAAAAGAAATGATATTCTCACACAGAAATCATTGAAATGTTCTGCAGGTTAAACCTTGGGTAAAAAACAACCATCTGTATCTTACAGTGGGGTTGAAGGTGAGAGTGACGTGCTTGTGGTAGCCGCTGGAGGTGAAGGTGACCTGAGGCAGAGTGAAGTCATACTGGGAGCGGGACAGGGTGGAGTACAGCATCAGCACATAGCTCTGGAGCAGAACGACAGAAGAAAGACAGGTGACTTTTGTTCCAACGGTGTGTCGACATTAAAAAGACTTATTGCCACTGTATAATGTGGACTAGAAAATTAAATTTTCAGACTGCGGGCAATATTTTTCAGTAGTTCGAGGTTTACTATGTGATTGTAGACCTAAGAGCAGAATTACAAGCAGATACCTCTCCATCTCTGTCCAGAGGAGGGAAGTGGAAGAAGAGGGACTGTCCCAGAGAGACACTGTTGATTGGGTTGTCCAGATTATCAATCTTGTAAAGCTTCACCTGGATAAAGAAAGGGGAGAACAGTAAAAAAAACTTTTAGTAAAACTGTATTAAAACTTCAGATGTGTATATAAGTTCAATATAAAAGACCACAATGCAGGCAAAAAAGTCCTACCGATAGTGTTGGGAGATGTTCAGGGGAAGTGTGGACGTTTCCACTGAGGTCAAACTGATTTATTTGCCTGAAGGCGATGATATTGACCCCGTCGATGTCATTGCTGCCCACCTGAAAGGGAACACAAAGCTTAATGTACAGGTACAACCTTGCACTCTTAAAGAAAATATGGATAAAGCTTTGTACAAGTCACACGGTGTGATAATAACAGAGAATTAAGTGGAATTAAGGAATTTCCTGCCTTGCCAGAGAGATTAAGGGGCCTGCACTTTCCAGACAAGCTAAAATTATGAACAGAGGTTTATACTTGCAATGGGATTATTGCTGCTTTTGTTCTGCGTATAGAAAGGACCCATGTGATAAGACTGCTGATAAGTCATAATCACAGGGTTCCCACAGTTATTTTAACAATTCAATTACAAAAGTTTTCCATACCCTCCTATCTAGTTCAGTACCAGGCATAAAGGAACTATTAAAAAACACTATGACATTGAAAATGTGTTATTGTTGGACTGACTGGTGGAACATCAATGGCATTTTAGTAGAGGTTAATTCTTGACCTAAGTATTACAATCTGTTACACTGTGTTTTGGCGACTTTAGACTTTAGTTAGCTCTAAATTCTAATGTTATATCTGCATGCTGAAATAATGAGGTTAGAATAGAGTAAAACTGACTCTGACTGTATTTTTGTGACACTTAAATAATTCCTCTAACATTTAAATTCTTAGAAAACTTAATTAAATTCATGTATAATTTCTGAACATTTCCAAAAACCTGAATGATTGTTTACTGTACACATCATTCCGCCACGTGAACCTTAAATAAGTTTGCTTCTTACCTCTATAGCTCTGTGTTGTGGTAAGGCCCTCTCTATGTGGTCATTGCCTTCCGCTCGCAGCTGAATTAGATATTTGCAACCCGGCTGCAAGGAAACATTACATTCATTAAGTCGTACAAGGTGTACAATTAAAAGGCTTAGAAAATACAGTACGAGTATAGCATTTGAGTGATCCAATATGTGTGTGTACAACAGACAGTCTGTTAGTTTCAATGCTGCTTACACAGTGTTTTATAAGGTCACTACTTCTTCTAGTGGTCTAAGATAGGACAGTGACCCCTGTCAGATTTTAACACGTTCTTAGCGTACTCACCAGCAGACCCCTGAGTCTGAAGCGACCCTCCTCATCAGTGACGGTGTCCTCGCTGTAGAGACTACACTCTCCCTGTCCCACTGCCTCCACAGCCACATCCCTCTCTGCATCCCCGCTCAAAGACTGCACCGCCCCGTAACAGCTGAGGACGACAGTAACAAGACCATGACACGGCTCACACTCACGTTATGTTCATTTTTAGACCACCAACATTACAATTTGAGCGCTATGTTCAAGGAATTTGTATTCTTGTACGCTAAGCTGTAGGAGGTACATTTTTATACCTGTAAGCAGTCTTAATGCCAGTTATATCGATGCTGAGGTTTTGACCCTCCTCCACTGTGATCATCTGAGACGCCGGCTCAAAGCGGAACTCCTTCATCATGGGCTTGAAGTAGTACTGACCAGGACTCTGAGGGGAGAAAAAAGCAGTTATCATATCAAATGAAAAGCAGAAACATATACAGTATCAGCAGTATCAGCAAGAGCATAACACAAGTCACTATAGCATACCTACAATTAGATTTACAGCAGACTGATACCTTACAACACAGGAAGAACATTACAACGGTGAAAGCTAGTTTCTGAATTCCTACCAGGTTATTAAAGGTGAGCAGGCCAGTGTCCTGGGTCAGCAGGTTAGAGCGAAACTGTCCTCCACTCAGAGACAGGAGGACACCTGACAGGGGGTGACCCTCCTCTGATTTGATCTACAGCACACAGGGAAAGAGAGGGAGTACAGGTTATAAAATATCAGTAATTCATAGATTAATTGATCATTTCAGCACTTTATATTATACTACATGAGTGTGTCCAAATTTGAATAATAGAAATTTGACTCATTTCAAATACTCTAAGTGTCACAGCTGTGGAAAACATGGGAGGTCAAAGATTAAACTGCTTTAGTCTTCTCAAAAGAAATGATGAGGACTTAATATCCATTGCAATGAGGGCAAACTAGCAGAGAAAGCTTGAAATCCCTGAGTCATGTATCAAATTATGAAACTGTGGGTATAATCAGGCTGACAGGTGAGTTTAGTGTCTCTAATGTTCTATTTCAGAGAGGATTTATAAAAGGATGATAAAAAAAGGACATACAACTCCGTATTGATGCTGTACAAAAGATTTTAAAAGCAATTAATCACGGAGTCTGAAAGGGAAACTAACACTGATCATTTGTGCCAGGATCTCGTAGTTGCTGTGGATAATTGCAGACCTTTTTAACAAAGGCAGAACAAAGGCAACGCACACAGCAAAGCAGAAAACTGATATCATCAGCTATCATCGGTGATCGCTTCTTTTAATGATATTTTCTGAAAACATACAGTACAACTAACAACATTTCATCATGTCATTTCATATTCCCTTTAAACCACATAATCAGTGAAAGTAGTCAATGTGAACAAAGAATGAAAGTGGATGAAAGTGTCGGCTAAATAGCACCACACAATAATACTTGCAGAGGTAAAAGTGGCTGGTGATTACTGGGATCTAACCGTGATGTATGCAAATGAGTCTGGTCACATGTACCTTGAAGGTGACACCAGCCAGAGCGAACGCCTTGAAGTCTCCCTGGGTTCCCTCCACAGGGCTCAGGACGAAACCTTCTTTACTGGCGCTGATGTTGTACTGCCGGTCGCTGTGGAGTGGACCCACACTGATGGAAAGACAGCAGCAAAAAGGGGGTTAAGACTGCCAGGATGTCTCCAGGATGCATATTTTATACTATGTGATTACAATAGCAGCCCATACACAGAACAAAATGCACACATACGATAATATCTGATGATGAAAACATAGATAATAGTACAGAGTTCCATCCAGCTGAAATCAAAAACGTTTAAATAACTAAACCTAACTAAACCACTAAAGTGATACAAAAGAAAATACTACCCAGAAAGCACAATGCTATACATTAGTCTGATAATGTTACCATGAACAATTTTTGTTCAGGGCTAAAGGCAACTGCTGAGGATCTTCCAGAAGACAGTAATGGCAGAACAATATTTATAGTGCAACATAAAACAATGTGTGCACTTCTATTATGATTCTTTTTTATTACTTAATTACTTTTATTTATTACTTTTAATATCAAGTTTCCATAATGCTTTGGGATGTAAACAGGAAGGATGGATTAAGTTAGCTGTGCTGTGGGCTACAACTTTAGCCTATATTTCTTACATTTTGGCACCCTTAAAAGTATACCAAATTAGCGGTTCCTGTTTGCAATGTGCTCATGTCTGTACAGACAATAATCACTGGATTGGTCTGATAACGAATAAGTAGCTTCTTCTTTTCCTATGACTTCTAAGTGGTTATATAGATGTTTATTTGTGGTGGACATCGATAGCCCTATCCTTGGGCAGTGGAAGTCATGCTGAATCTAAAAATGTACACACATCTGTGGGTTCATGTTTGAGTTATAACCGCTCGTGTGGCTAAAAACTACTACAAGCTCATCTGCATGTAAAACAACATCTGTACGGCCACGGGAAAAGAACAGCCGAGCAGGCTTGAACAAACAGGGCAAGTCAAACATTTCAATATGGTTTTTCTGCCACTGACGGCACAGATGTGGCGTTTCATGAGCCTGAAGTCCTTTTAAACACTGCTAGTGGGTCTCTCAGGCACAGATTATGATTTAATTGTCCGTTTGGCTGACCAGCACCGAGGGATTTTTAAAACTCTTTTTTAACTAGGACCCATACATGGCAACCACTTTTTCCACTTTTTTTTGTTTTTAAGTGCTTTATTCCCCTCTCCATTGAATGAATGCTGGGCTCTCATACCTGTATGCTCCCATCTCATTAGTGGCCACAGTAATGAGCGGTGTTGCAGCTCCTCTTTCAGTGATGGAGATCTCCACACCCTGTAGCTCTGGTGATACCTTGCCCTCCAGGAAGAGACCTGCACGTCCCGCAATGTCCACCAGCCGACCTGGACACGACTCTGTCGAAAAAGTGTAATTACTTCAGCTTGTTAATGCTGCATGTTACAGAATGTAGAGGATGTGAATTTTCTCCTCTTTCTCCTAGCAACCAATAAGTTACTGTTGGAAGTTGGGGCTATAACTTTATAAATATTGACCATTTACATATAAAGAATGAAAGAGTTCAGAAGCAGCTATAATAAGGACACAAACATACACAGTGGGATTGTTAGGTAAAAGTTTCTAAAGGAACTTACCTCCGGTGATAGTGGCCTCGACCTCTGGAGGGTAGAACAGCAGTTCCTTGGAGGAAGGTGTCACAGTGATCTTCTCTCCAGCCCTGTACAGTCATACAGTGTACATTAACTCACTGCAGCAACACATGTGCAAGATTAAGCAAGACTCCTAGACTGTGTGGTTATTATTAGTGGATGTCAACCAGACACTAAAAATAAAGTTGTTCTAGAGGTAAAAGTCCTGTTTATTTTCTCTATAGACAATTCTGGTGACTCACAGTTGGAGACTCTCCTGGTTAAATCCATCAGTACAAAAGAAAATAATATAGTTTTTCAATAAAAAGTCAAGAGCTACAAGCCTGTAGACAGAACATTTTAACATATGTTTACCACAACTGTCCAAGGTGGATTTACTAATTAAGAAAACATCCACTTAAAAAGTATATATACAAAGTAAATATTCTGTTACATGTGCAGCTAAAGACAAGTTGAAGAAGTTGAAGATTGTGTTTTTAGAAAACTGATAAATCCAACTACTGACTACACCTGCAGTGTTCTGTTCCCAACGGCAAGGACAAACTATTTTGAATTTGCCACAGATTCGCCCCTAAAGGGCACTGTTGTATTTAGAGCCATTCACTGCGTCAAACTGATGGAACCCAGAAACAAAGTTAAAACAATGGCCATAACATAAACCTACTACATTGTCTGGGAGGTTCCTGTGCTTCAAAGCATTGTGGATATTATTAAAAGAAACCTTTCTTCAAATTGAAACAGGAATTTAGTGGGGAAAACTGCTTCCAAAACCAACAGCTCATCTGACTTTGCAACACTGCCAGACACTGAGCACGAGTATGTGCAAGAAGGACATTGTCTTCACAAGATTGCAATCCTTAATTTCTTATACTGTAAAGAGCAAAGAGTGATGAATTAACAAATGCAGTGCCTTTGCAGTGAAACTGACCTGGCCCAGTAGGAGAACTCATAGTGGAAGGGGCCTGTCAGTTCATCAGCCTTCTCTTGGATAGGAGGGCTATCATCTCGGGCACCTCCGTCCTCTTCTGCAGCACGCCGCTCTCGTTCCTGACGGCGCAGTTGAATCTCTTGCAGCTGCTGCTCCTGCCTCTGCTCCTCCAGGCTCCGCAGGGGACCTAGAACCAGCGCCGGCTCGCTCTCAATAGATGATCTGACCGAGGAAAAATAAAATAAAATAAAAATACCCCAAAAACAAAGAATGTAATTAAGCTAGACATTTGCAGAAAGCTGCCCTGCAGCTAATATTAGCAAAGAGAATGAGCATAGCCACGCTGAGTCTTACTTAATAGTAACTGTGACGTCTAGGATCTTGTCGGTGGTGATGAGCCCGGTCATGTGATGCCGGACTGCTGTGAGGGTCAGGATACTGGGGGCTGAGCTGTTTGACACAGGTTAACAACAGTCACTCTGTTGAACTAGAGGAAGAACACTCTTATAACGCAGAAATGAATGGACACAGCACCTCATTACTTACGTGTCGTAGGTGTAGAAGTCCTGTTCAAACTGGTGGCAGGAGCGAGGGGTGACTTTGTAAACACCTGAGCAAAAGCCATTGTAAGTTGATTAATTACTTTGCTCCAGTTTTATATTTAGGCAAGTCTGACACAGACCTTTTGGCTCAAAATACTGCACTATAACTATGCACAAGGGAACAGTTGGTACACTGATATTTTTCTTTTCTAGTTATGCTAATTCATACTATGTTTAGCTAATGAGAGGTCAGGAGAATGAACTTCACCAGGCTTGGAGAGGCAGAAGCGGTTAACTCCCTTGGAGAGGTTGTACACGCCGACGTTCTCAGGTTTGCTGCCATCTTGGAAGAACTCCTGCACAGAAAAACGTGTTAGTTGGAATTAGAATAATAATTGTGGACGTGCCACCATCTGTTACAACATACACCAGACGCAGCTGCTGTAGACAGTTACTGAATACTCACCAAAGTAATGGCATGCGAGAGGGAGCAGCGCAGGATGTAGCCAATCTGTCTGAACTCCACCCCCGAAACATCAGAGTCCAGAACCTCCACTTCCACGGACTTATGTTTCCAGCACCACTCCTCGTGAGAAATACTCACTGGCATGTGTAAAAATGGGAAAGAACTAATGAACACATAGACTAAAAGTAACAGAAAAACAGATGTAAATATTCATTTAAAAAGGATTAAATCTGTCACACCAGCCAAGGAGGAAAGTCAGGACTTTCCCACAAAAAAATCTTATAATCATCTCATCTCTAAACAAACGATTCAGAAAGTAAACTTCTCCCACCGCTCAGGCCTGGCACCACTATAAGCTGAGTAAACATGCCTCAAAAGATGCTGTGTGTGCAGATAGCTTGCAGGCGCACAAAACAGATGTGTGTGCATTGAACAGTGAGTGAGATAGATGCAGCACCAGAAGGTACAGAAACACAGGCTGAATAATGTGTGCTTCCTGAAATCTGCTACTGAACACCAATTATGATCGAAAGCTGGTAATTACTAATTGATTTCCCCACAATCGTTAAGAGAAGAATTAGTGTGATTTCTAAATGGAAATGCACATAAGATGGAGGGAATCAATTTATATACGATGGTTGAGGTCTTCCAGTCAAAACTTGCATGCTGACTTTGCTTTTGTGCGGAATTTGCTAATCAATCATCATGAATGAAAGATGAATATCACAATCATTATTTCTACTATTATTAAGAATGTAAAGTGCTGCTGGTGGTGAGTCCTGACCTTTGTATTTCCCAGGTAAAACATTGTCAAAGGAGAAGCTGAGGATGTCACTGCTGCCAGACAGAGCCACCGCCCTCCTCTCTCCCTGCCGACTCACTGGTTGCAGGGTTACTGAGAGGTCATCGCAGGACGCTAGAGGTCAACCAGAGGACACAAAGTGAAAATATGAACAAAGATGTAATGTTTTTATGGGGTTTTAGCCGCATTTCAGACAAACACACTCTGCATCGGTAACAAAATTAAGTGAAAATTACCTAAACAGTAGACTTTTCCAGAGACAGAAGCCATGAATTGGGTGAAAAGTAGGTCTGTGAGGGGCCGGTCTACAAGGGAGACCTCCAGGGCCTGAGGCTGCAGAGCCAGGCCTGCTTTCACCTCCGCCTCAGGGAGCGACACCTGGACACGTGGAAATACAACCAAAGTCATCTTTTAGAAAACCACGTTTTTAAATCATACTACTATATAAGCAGTAAAATAATTTAAGTCTTTGGCAATTCATCTCACTAGTATAATAGTATTGACTTATTCTAGACTGTTTCTGAATTCTCATGAAGGTAAGATTTGATTTTTGCCTCAGTATCATCTTATACAATATGGTTTAAATAGACAAATATTTGAAATCTGAAAATAAGTTCAAGGTAAGCTTCTTTTCCATTTAATTAATGACTGAGGCTAATAATCTTCTGGTTCTGAGACATTCCAGTCAAATGGGTGAATCTGAATGTTAGACTTACATGGACACTGTAATCTCCAGGTTTGGTCTGAAAGCAGAAGGCTCCCTGAGGATCAGAGTCTATGGTCTTGCTGGGGGTCTTTTCTTGGTCCTGGTGTGTCAGAGTGACCTTGTAGCGGCCCTGCTGCTTCATGCCCTCAGGCAGGCGGCTGATGGAGATCTGGCCACACACACTGAACCTGTGCGGGATAGACATCAGAATTTAGATCACACTAGTTAGCAATGTGGGAAAATGATGTGTGAAATTGATATCTTCATGAACGGTATGCAGCTCCAGCACTATGTGGACAGGCCAGACGCACCCTGCTGTGATGATGTCAGGGAGTTGGGGGGTGTTGGGGGCGATCTTCACTGTGATTGGCTCAAAGAACATGAGCTCCTTGTTGACACGGATGGTGTAGGTACCAGCCGTCATGTTCTCCAGTCGGAAAGAACCATCCTCCTTGCTGACGACTGTGAGGACAGAACAGCAAAGTAAGCTACAGTGTGCCAATCTGTAGACAGTGAGAACCACTGATCACAGAAAAATCCACAGTTATTTGGATGTTTGTTTGAAAGGTCTTCTAGTATGGTTACCTCTGATCTGGTTGTTGAGGGACACTGTGGCATCAGGGACGCCCTCCCCAACAGCACTGTTGAGAACTCGGCCCGTCACAGAGAAGCCCATGACACGGAAGATGGGCTACAGGCAAACAACAGAAACAGCATCGCATGTCAAAATGTGCTACTATGCATAACATGTATTCTGTTTGCAAGATAATGACACATATTACTATAGCAATTATACTGAAAATGTGAGATCTAATTTGAATCTTTACCTGTAGCTTCAAACTGTTGTGTTCCACCTTGAAATTCATCCTGGAGGGAGCGACGTCAAACGTGATCCGTTCTCCCCTGTAGAAAGGCACCTGAAGTGAAGGATTTCACAAACGCAGATTTAGAAACAGAAATAACAATATTTACATGTGAGAGTGACAGAGTTTAGAGATTTTAAAATCACTACCGAGTCAAACCCCAATATTGGTACCATTTAAGTCTACTTTAGTAATACAATAAGAAACATTCTGTGGTTACAGCGTTATGTACAGTCGTTATTTACAGTCCTTCAGCACGCTTATGTGGTTGCTTATCTGTCCACAGATTATAGATTGAGAAACAGCCTCTGAACTAACTGCCGCATTTATAGCAATGTTCATTGATGTGCACTGTCCCTGTTAAATATACCAGTAATTAAATAAATATTCAAGTGAACTGTTATACATGAATCTGTGGATGTACTTAAACAAACAAACAAACAAACAAACTGCTTACTGCAAATGGGATTCACAGGAAACGAGGCTCGCATGTAATCCAGCCTAATCTTATCTCACTGATATCAGACTCACAGTTTACTGTTCTGTCTTTTTAAACCGTATAAGAGCTGTATTAAGTTAACGCTGCTACTTCACAATAAAAGCGTTCAACTGAAAAACGTCTGTGTGGCTTTTATTGTGAAGAAGTCACAGAAAAAGCACTGTACTTGACTGCAAACAGATACACAAGTTACTCTTCTGTTGCTATTCTGACAAAGCAGCTGCTCAAGGAGTTTTTGCTGTAGTGCTACACAGTACTTGCGTTCACCATGGTAACCACAAGTGTCACCAAATCAACCCGGACTGAAGTCTTAAGGACTACAACTTTAAGTGAGATTCGAAATGGAGACAGCCTTCTTTTGGTTTTCACAGGAAGCTTACCACAGTGTACTCGCCGCTGGCCAGTGCGGGGAAGACGAAGGTCCCATCTTCCCTGGATAGAGCGCTGCACAAGTAGACCAGGGAGCTGTCCCCAGAATCAGCCCCCTCCACTGGGGACGTGTTACAGCCACCAACGTCCTAAAAAACACAAAAATGAATATGGAGTGATGTAATGGTTGTGGTTAAAATCTATACAGAATCCCATGATATTCCAGAAATACTGCAGGAATGCCGCAAGAATTAAAGCTACAGAATAATATACTGACTTTTATCAAATAATGCAGGATAGATCTGACAAGCCCTATAAAATCATGATCTAGTTTGACTGCTCACTGTTTCTAAAAACCTAAAATAATCTTGGTTTACCTCTGTCTTGACTGTGGCTGAGTACAGTAGGAAGGTGACCTCTTTCATGGGCTCTCCATCACTTCGGACCTCCCCCGAGACATCGTAGCCTCCAACTACCAGATGGTCGGCGGCTGGGGCATTGGCATTGGAGACGTGTACTGAGGTGGTACTCTACAGGAAAACGGCAAAGGTCACCACGTAAGTTACAGTGAGGGTGGGAATAATGGCCCTGTCAGGAGCTGTGATTACTGCTCGAGATCGTTAGTTATAAACCTGCTAACCTTACAGGAGACCTTATCAAGCTAAGCAAGTAGGTGACACAGAATTAAAGACCTCTGAGATAATGCATTCTTCTTAATGACACTACTCGAATGGAGAGCTGCCATACTGTGGTACCCGGCAGTGTGTTAATAGAAAAATAAAATGATGTCAAACACAGGTCTAATCTGTCTGCTGTTTGAAATCATTAGTTACAAACCTGCTGATCTGTCCCAACTCTGCTCCAAAAGCCTTAATCCATCTTTTTAAATAATCATTATGAGGTGCTCTATTTATATTCTGAGCTAAATGGGTTTCTGCTAATGTACGTTTTTCATTTTTTAACAGTGTGTGTGTAAACGTATGGTTTGTCTCTCTTGCAAATGAAACTGTGTTCTAAATGAGATTTTATGAACAAATAACTAACCTAACTATCTGTTAGAGAATGTAAGTAGAGTAAGAGAATCACAGATGGTAAAGAAAGATCTGACCATGACAAAGACTTACACAGTCATTTGTTATTGATCAAGGAGCAGTCAGCAGAGTATAAATGTTGCCACCAGAGGAAAAAGGGTCTTAGGATGCAGTTCTCATAAATACTACAGAAATCTGTCATTGCAGTGAGGCCAATGGAGAAAAATCTTAATGATCTTAAAAACAGACAATTGTGTAGGATTTAGTGGCATCTAACAGTGTAGCTGCAGATTGCAACTCCCTCGCTTCACTCTCCCCTTGTGCATGAATGAGTAACCATAGTGGTCGTGAAACGCAAGAACAACGCCAACGGCCCTATCTGCTGCCAGTGTTTGGTTTGTCCAGTCTGGGCTACAGTACAAACGTGACAGCTCAACATGGCGGACTCCATGGAAGGCGACCCGCAGCGTGTGTAGATATAAAAGGCTAATTTTAAGGTAACAAAAACACAACGATTCTTATTTTCTGGTGATTATACACTAATGAAAACATACCTATGAATATTATATTCCATTTATAACCAACAGATCCTCCTAAATGTTACCACACTGGATCCTTTTAAAAGCGCATAAAAAAGGCAATGGGGAGGTCACAGCACGCTACATTCATAGTTTCTACTTAGTCTGTGGCTGGTGATGAAGCTTCATGAAGACTAGGTGAAGGGTACAACCGCTCCAGAGCTCGCAGGAGGGATGGAAAGCTGTGATGTCATAATCTTCCAGGGAGTACTTTTAAGAAGGTATACCTGTGCTAGGAATGATCAAAAAAAGGAAAAACAATTCTACGAACATGTGTTTACGTGGCCAGAAAGCCACT